AATAATAATAATAATAATATTATTATTATTATTATTATTATTATTATTATTAATATTATTATTATTATTATTATTATTATAGATCCTAAATGACTAAATTCAAATTTTACTTTTGAAATTTTATGTAACACGCTGTAAATAAACACTAGAATTGCATAACAAAAAACAATAAAATAGACAATATAGTTTTGAGAAAACATGTTTAGTTGAGGTTGGACTACTAATTGACATTTTGTGTTGAGCGTAGCAAAAGAAGACACGCTATAATCGAAAGAGAGATGTCAAACATTAATTTTAGGTTAAAAAAAAAAGGGGTAATTTTGTCTCAAAGTTTTTTTTATTTTTATTTTTTTTTTGTTTTGTTGTTTTTATTTTTTTTGTTTTGTTTTGTTTTTTTGTTTTTTTTTTTTTTTTCGTTTTGAGAGCGAATCGATCATTAATTCATTGAATCATTGTTCAAAATGTTCACAAGAAAAAACGGAGTAGTGTCATACCATTCCTCGCAACCTGACACAGAAAGGGTCTCCCTAGCAACGGAGTGGGCGGCACAATTAGAAGATCACCTTACAAAACGGAATAAAAATATCAAGGGGCCATGAGATTCTAATTCTTTGAAAATGAGAGAATTTTAACTCCGTAATTGCAATTTACTCCAAACAAACAAATGAAGTTGCTTGCCTTTGGTATTATGTAGAAATTAGGTGGGAATACAATTGTAATTCTCACCAACCAAACGCCCAGTTTATGCTCATTTGAACCCCTATATATAATTTATTTATTTATATTTTTTGGCTACTCTCCTTGCGTTTTCTCCATTATATATCTTTCTCGATATTTAATGGTGGATGGTTTTCTATCTTGTCAACCATGTATCAAGACACCTAAAATAATGAATATATTATTATATGAACCCATTTCCATATGCAATTGTTCCTGACTTGGTGAGAAAAATTGGTAACGTCACAATCTCCTCGTCCCTTCACATTAGAAAATATATGAACTCATTTCCATATGCAGTTGTTCCTGACTTGGTGAGAATTTAAAAATTGGTAACGTCACAATCTCCTCGTCCCTTCACATTAGGAGTAATTTAGGACAATTTTAGCCGATTTAGTTAGGCTGTTGGCTTGTTAACCATATAATTTCAAGTTTGACTTTCGGTTGGAACGATCTATTAGTCTTTTTTGTTTGAGTCGATCAGTTATAGACAATTTAAATTGGTTTATTTCATTTTGGTCTTTCGCAACCAACGATTACAATTAGAGCTTCACCGGCCAGATGCACATTCGGATTAGATAGCAGTTGCAGGCTTCCCCATAAATTAAAATAAGGAGGACTTCACTCTAACACACATTCAGATAGCATTGCAAACTTTTCCGTAAATCAAAATAATAAGACATAAACATAACTCAATAACTTGAATCTAAGTATATTAGTTCGCGAACTACTAATGCAATTGGAAAATCAAAGTATTAGTAAGTCTTGAGGTCTTGACCATCGTTCTGGTCGATTTCTCATCTAGTATCCTTTATATTTGTTTTATCTATTTCTTCACTCAATCATTTTACTATGAGCCAAGTGTTCCAAGTATAAGTCTTTTTTTAATTTAAAAAAAAAAAAAATCTAAAGTCGCATGCGTACGTATAATGTAAGCATCTAATCTTATACATGCTGAATTTTAAGTAGGGAGATACAATATAATATAATATATTTAAATTAATAATTGTGATGATCCACCTCGTATTTATAGCTTATAGCTAATGTATATAACATATGCACGCATAGCCATAGTTTTAGGTACTTAATTAGATTACCTATAATACATTCCCCACTTTCAAAGAATTATAAAGAAATCTAATACACTGATGACTTTTTTCTTTTCGAGTATTATTAACTTTGTAACAATGTAGTATATGTCTATACATACTTTCTCAACCTATTGAAATATAAAGAGTCAATGTCCCAGTGTGATTCGAGTCACAGTTATGTCACTTGACCACAAGGTCTTTAACTACTGAGACTTATCTTATTATATTAAAAATGAATGTATGTCAACAAATTCTTTTTTAATGTACTGCAAATTCTTCTTTTAGTAAATTCATTTTTAGGGCACTGTTTAATTAAAAATGAGCATATAGTACATTAAAAATAAACATATAATATATTAAAAATGAATGTGTCCGTGTTCTATCTTACCATGTTAACTATGGTCAGGCCGGCCTGAGGGCGGGCGAGATGGGCACCTGCCCTGGGCCCAAAGTTGAGAGGGGGCCCCTAGCTTAGTTTTTTATTTTTTGATGAAGATAAAAAAAAAAAAAAAAAAAAAATACTTGCATATGCAAACATTTGAATCGATGATTTCAAAATTATTTATTAATTTTAAATCTACTTAACAATTACAACCATTTAATATACGTATCTCAATTATAAATATATTAGCGAGCGTTGATTTATAATTATACTTCATATAGGGACCCAAAGTTTGAATGGGCACTACTTCAAAATTATTCTAATTTTTTTTTATACAAAAATTATATGTTTACAAAAATCAAAATTATCGTTTAATTATTTTCATTTAATTTATATAATTTTTTAACTTTGTATATATTAAGGGTCTTTATTTTTATTTTGTACCGGACTTATAAAATAATAAGACTGGCCCTAACTATGGTCCACGATATAATTTGTAGAATTAGATTATACATACCAAACATAATTCATAGTTAAAGGACGCATGCACTTCAATTAATAGGCCACCAAGAATTGGTTCCATTTTTCCATGCAGCTACGTTAGTTGGCCTATTGCATGTCCAAATTATTAATTGCTAAATGACAAAAAATATCCAATCCCTATGTGATTTCTCTTGTAATTCTGTTCTATTTTATTATTTTCTTTTAGTCAATTTTATCTTATTTCGGTCAATTAAATTATTGATGTTTATAATCATCCAAAAATATATATTTTACATGTAACTATTTTATGTTAGTATTTTAACTCACTACATGTAAATATCAAAATAAATAAATAAGAAGTTAGTTCTGACATGCGCTAATATGTCACGTCCATTGTATTCTTGCATATTGTAATGCAGAGCTTTTTTTTTTTTTTTTTTTGGGTGGGGGGAGGGGGTGGTCATATTTTAGATTTACAAGTAGAGTGAAGATAATTTTTTGTAAATTATGTGTGATAGATACCTTGCCCATAAAATGTGGAATTCTCTCGCTCCCTGCCTTACATCCTTACCAAGGAGGATAGTGGATGTGTAACTGATTCTATTATATCGTATCTGTTCAAATATCTCGATCTCATGACCTCCTATATGGAAGAGGTCACTACATGCCATCTGAACACAATGTGCTTGGCGTGTAATAGATACCTTAACGTACAATACAATAATCAGATTGTTTGAAATATATAAGAACTCATCCTCCCACGAGAACATGCGAATCAATATGAATGCACATAATCGTCTACATAAATGCACACAAATTATTCATTGTGTGTATTATGCACTGGAGATCAACATTTATGTATAAGTTTGCAAGTTCTCACGGAAGGAGGAGTTCTCATCAGAGCATCACCATAAATAGATTAAAACTATCCCCCAAAAATAAGAATCATAATTTTTTAAATTTCAAATTCTCTCATAATTCTTTGTTCTTTATTTATTTTTTTCATACTTTATTTCATTATTATCTTTATTTTGCATGATCAAAACTTCATTGTAATAAGTTTTTACAGTTAGAAGAGCCGCTACCCCTCTTCACCTCTTTCATTTTGTATAGTTCTTAATATGTATTTGGCTATTTGCCTTTGTATTCACCTTCCCCTATACTTTAGTGAACCCCAATCCCTCCCAATAGTTTCTTTGTAAATTAAAAACCTTGACTAAGGTGAATTGTAACTAATGATTGACATATAAATTGAAGAAATTAAAATAATAAAAAACTTATAAAGTTTGCAACAAATTAAATAAGTATTCTGTATCATTTAGATACATACGAATTTCAATATTTTTACTCACAATAATACATTTATAAATTAAATAACTATGAATTTCAGTAATTTATTTACAAATTTTTCATTGATTTTTTTTCTTTTTTGTAGTGTTGTTAAAACTAAATCAAAATATTTGATTTAATTTTGGTTAAAATAAACATATTAAAAGGAAATATGTGGTTTGACCTTGTAAAATGAAGGTAGGCCCTAGTATGTCCCTACACCATTTATATCGTTAATGAACATAAGACTTCTTCTAGCAAAAGTAGTACATACACGACCGCCTATGAGCAAGTAGTCAACTAGTTGTCAAGGATTATTACACTTTACATTAACTAGAGTAGCGGGAAAATTCCAACCAATTTAGACTAGGTCGTTTGTTTAGAGCACCCTCAATAGTAAGATTTTAATTTGCAGTGAAATATAAGGTAGAAGAGAGAGAATAAATTTGATCTTTACATAAAAACTTTAGTTTAATTTTTGTATGTACGTAAGTTCCATCGCAATCATCAAAAGTCCAAAATTCTTCCTAGTGCGCGTTATGCGCACCAGGCGTGCCCAGCCGGGCAGGTGGACTCCACGTGCCCGCTGGGCATGTTATCCCAACGCTTCTCTCTCTCCCTCTATATATATATATATATATATATATATATATATATATATATATATATATCATCTTTTCTTTCATAATCACACATGCAAAAACTACAACTATTGAGAATGTTCTTAATAATCACAAGATTTCAAGTTAGACTTGTGATTCTTTATCAACCAGGAACACAAGACAATACCATATTTACTCAAAGCAGACCATCGAATCGTGATTACCTCGTTATCTTAAAAAAATTGAAGTAGTAGAGTGGCAAAGTAGAAAATAATTGAGTAAAAGATGGCAAAATGGGAAGGGAGTAGCCAAACCCCAATACGTATGTACACTACACACGAAATCACATATCCCGCCCGCTCATTTCCTTTCTGGCAAATTAAACTTGAATGCTACAGCCGCGTTGTACATTAAAAGTTCGTTGGGGTAGTTGCACCCCCTCTCCTTCTACACCCCATTCCCCTCTTTAAATTCTCCCCCACCTCAAACCTCCGCCACCAACACATTCCTTAGCTTTCTCTAATCTCTCTCGTTTCACATAGGTTCTTTGTTTTTCCCCATCAATCAGAAATCCACCCAGAAACTGTCTTTTCTTGATATTTTCTTGAAGCCATGGGGGATAACGCCGGCGGGAGAGTTGCGGTGGAGGAGAGGCGGAGCAGCCATAATAATCTCCCAAACTTTCTCCTCTCAGTGAGGCTCAAGTATGTGAAGCTTGGGTACCATTATTTGATTAGCCACGCCATGTATTTGGTCTTGGTGCCGGTGCTCGGGGCGGTTTCGGCTCACCTCACCACTCTCACCGTCGACGATTTGGTCCAATTATGGCAGCAACTCAAGTTCAACCTCGTCACGGTGGTCCTCTGTTCTGCTCTTTTAGTTTTCCTGGGAACACTCTACTTCATGACACGGCCCAGAAAGGTTTACTTGGTGGATTTCGCGTGTTACAAGCCTCCACCGGAGGTTATGTGCCCGAAGGAGATCTTCATGGATAGATCCAAGAAAGCCAACATTTTTACGGAGGAGAATCTGGGGTTTCAGAAGAGGATACTGGAGAGGTCTGGGCTGGGGGAGAAGACTTATTTCCCAGAAGCCCTTTTGCGACAGCCGCCCAATCCTTGCATGGCGGAGGCTAGGAAGGAGGCTGAGATGGTGATGTTTGGCGCCATTGATGACCTGCTGGCGAAAACTGGTGTGAAGGCTAAGGATATTGGGATTCTTGTGGTGAATTGCAGTCTCTTTAACCCGACCCCTTCTCTTTCCGCCATGATTGTTAACCATTACAAGCTTAGGGGGAACATTCAAAGCTATAACCTTGGTGGCATGGGGTGCAGTGCTGGGCTCATTTCAATTGACCTTGCCAAACAACTCTTGCAGGTTTGTAATTAGTTTCTCCAGTCCCATTTATTTCGTTTCTTTTAATTTGTCTGAAACAATTTATGACTGTAAGTTAATATAACTGCCATGGTGGCCTTAACTTTAAAGTTTAAAGCACATGGGTTGCTAACTTGCTATGTTGCCCATCTTTTTACCTCCATTCATGTGGTCCAAATTCATATATAGTTTCTTGGAGTAATTTCACCCACCCCTAAGTATTAAATAGCATGCCTACTTTTTATATTTAAAAAGTTTCACATCCTTATTATTACATCTAGTGATTCTAGTCTACACTTTTTAAAGTCAAACCTGGCGGTGGCTGTGTGGAAATTATGTCCAAAATGGTCAGATTCCTTGTGTGCACTAGTATTTGGTTCTGTCTGCTGAACCATTGAGTCACCGTAATTTACATCCTCCCAAATACTCTATCGGGCCGGGGTGTAGGGACTCTTAGGGTTGGGGTGATAGTTGCATGAATGAATAATTATTAACCAATTACTTTTTTCACAATTAATTCACTTTAAAAAAAAAAAAAACTTCACGTCTTCATTGTCCGGATCAAATACTATCCTCGACACATTTCACCTTTGCAACCAGTTAAACTGCTAATGCAAACTACTCTTTCACAACCTGTTGGGTCGATGGGGGTGAGGATTTTGTCTTTTGTGGGCAAATTGTCTTCTTTCTCAATGTTATTGAATTTTGAGATGTAAATGTAAGTAATAAAAAGTTGTAATGTTTTGTAACAGGTGCAACCAAACTCCTATGCCCTAGTAGTGAGCATGGAAAACATAACACTCAACTGGTACTTCGGCAACAACCGATCAATGCTGGTGTCCAACTGCATCTTCCGAATGGGCGGCGCCGCCATCCTCCTCTCCAACCGCTCCTCCGACCGCCGCCGCTCAAAGTACCAGCTCATCCACACCGTCCGCACCCACAAGGGCGCCGACGACCGGAGCTACTCCTGCGTCTTCCAAGAAGAGGACGAAAAACGCGAGATCGGCGTCGCCCTCTCCAAAGACCTCATGGCCGTCGCCGGCGAGGCCTTAAAGACAAACATCACCACCCTCGGACCCCTCGTCCTCCCCATGTCCGAACAGCTCCTCTTCTTCGCCACCCTCGTCGCCCGGAAAGTCTTCAAGATGAAGATCAAGCCCTACATCCCAGACTTCAAGCTGGCGTTCGAGCATTTCTGCATCCACGCCGGCGGGCGAGCGGTGCTGGACGAGTTAGAGAAGAATCTTGAACTCAGTCAATGGCACATGGAGCCTTCCAGAATGACGCTTTACCGATTCGGAAACACCTCCAGCAGTTCTTTGTGGTACGAATTGGCTTATTCCGAGGCTAAGGGGAGGATCAGAAAGGGAGATCGGACTTGGCAGATAGCGTTTGGGTCTGGGTTTAAATGTAACAGTGCGGTTTGGCGTGCCTTGAAGACCATCGATCCTGCCAAGCTCAAGAACCCATGGATGGACGAGATTCACGATTTCCCAGTTGAGGTTCCTAGAGTTGCCTCCATCAACGCTTGATGATTCTTTAAAAAAAAAAACATTTATTAGAATACCCAAAAACATGTGTTTAAATTCTTGATTACTTCTTCCGATTCCAAGGTTGTCTTTTCTTTTTCATTTTGTTATACTTGATGTAAAGGAGAAACTTTTGGTGATTGAAAACCACGTTACAGTGGAAGGCAATACTCCAAAAATATATCCGGCCATCATTCTCTTGAGTCATCAATGGCGTTAGTAGTGTATGTAAGCATCCTCCAAATTCTTGTAATTATTACAAATAAATTGATTTATAATTACCTCTTCCATGCACATTATATTATTTTAAACTAAATTAAATTAAGGGAAAAAGTGTCAAATAAGTCCATAAATTTTATACAAAAAGTCAATTAATTTCTTAATATTTTAAAGGTTGCAATTAATCACATCATCACAAGTTATTTTCGTGCATTAAAGAAAAAAACTGATTATTAACCTATAATAGTCCGTCAAGGGTTCCGGCTAGCTCCAACGACGCTCTAGCGATTAATCTTGACGGCTAGCAGGTCGCCTTCTCCAATAAAAAAGGTGACTAATGGTCGCCTCCTCCATCAGATAAGGCGACCAACTGGTCGCTTAGCTTTTTCCACCGAAGAAGGTGACCGGCCTACTGGTCTCCTTTTTCAAAGCAATCAGCAACCGCTCATTAGTTGCCGGTCGTCTGTTGCCGCAGCATTGTCGGAGCTAGTCAGAGTTTCGTTGGAACCTTAGCGAGTGGTCAATATAATAACTGATTTTAAGTTTTGATGCACGAAAATAACATGTTGATGAAATTAATTGTAATTTTTAAAAGTTCAAAATTTAATTGATTTTTCGTATAAAACTTATCATCTATTTGATCATTTTCCCTACCATTAATAACTAAAAAATATCAGTACTTTTTTTCTTATAGTAAATAAAGTTCGTATACCTATTACCTATATAGATAAGGGATAAGTAGCATTTCTAAGACAGACATTGCATTAAGTATGGTGTACTGTCGGGGCATGTGAGTTGCCAGTCACATACCTGTATGTAGTTAGATACTTAGATGGAACCAGCTGGTTTTAGACAGTAACATATAGTGTCTGGTGACATAAAAATTTATGGCCAGTTGTAATAATCTTAATGATAATAATGTTGAACCTAACTCATGCATTTATCACGTTCAATTCACAACACAAAGCCAAAGACTCTAGTAGACCAAGTCAAATGGGCTAGCAGCTAGCTTGTCCATCTTTCATGCTTTAAGTCAACAGAGTCTGCTTCATCTTCCATGCATGGAGTTGAGGTTGGTAATCTATCTTTTAAGTTTTAATTACAGATAACTTTGTAGATAAACAAAACATACCTACTTCAATTCTACGTGTTTTATGATTTGAATTTGATTGCAAATGTATGACATTAGTTTCAATTGAATATTATTTCCGATCAATTTATCGTGATTGTTGGGCAGCGATTTGGAGATCAGAGTCGAGTACAACATCCTACTACCGAAACATGGTACATGGCCATTTTTGAATTTTTGTGGCCCCGCTCTTGTAAATAAATGAATTGATGCACTATTTAAAGTATAAATGCAATCTTTAAAACCAAACTATAAGAATCCTACTAAACTACTATCTCCAAAGTCCCAAAAACAAACAAAAAAAATTTTAAAAAATAATCTTGAAACTAGCTGGCTAGTGGCTACCTACTGGGTTGCCGCTATCGTTTGGAATGCAAGTAGAATGATCTGTTAGGGGGAAGAATAAATTTCTCAAGTGGCAATGATGGTGAACTGGTGAATGGTACATGTTTCAAGTTATCTCTATAGATTCAGGGCTTGATACATCATCTGTGCCGTTGGAGAAACAGAACGGTTTTGCCATGCGGCATACTCAATTAATTAATTAGGTCCTAATTATTAGAAGAGAGAAGCGATTTGGGAAAAAAATTGATGAGTTTAGTATTAATTGCAGATTTCTTAATTTTTAAGTAACTAGGTCAAAAATAAATATTGACCCTCTAAAAATTGAGACCCTGTGCTTTTGGGCATTTTGCACACCCTAAATTCCGGCCCTGGTTGACTGCTACACAAGTATAAGGAAATAAAATTTTACCTTCGCTACTAATTGTAGTTTTTGGCGTAGTGGTAAGTGTTTGATCTTGACAATTGGTATCAGAGTAGGCGGCTTTGAAAGTGACAGTTGAGGCTAGCAGGTGCTGCAGTCGCGCTAAATGCTATACAAGTAAAGTTGCCCCGGATACATATATACATGTTTATTATGTCAATTCAAATTCTTCTATTTAATAACTTATTAACGTCCATATTTCAACATTTTTTGGTTACCCTTCATTGTCAACTAGCATTAACCAAGGCGGTTAGAAGGTGGCATCCATGACCTAAATTTTTATTAACTACTTGAAATTGCAATAAAACAAAGCAAAATTTGTATGAGATATTGTTGTGTGGTCATTAGTCAACATCTTTGCTGGTATTCAGTTCAAATTCCATCTAAATTAAAAGTTGAGTGTTTAACGTGTAGTCAATGAATTCGTACTTGTGAGGACTATAATCATGCTAAACATAACTCAACATGATTAATATTGTAAGATGGGATTTTTCGATCGAGTCAAATCAAAACCTATTATAAGAAATTCTAACAAGTTCAAATGCAACTAAATGACTATTTTTATATTATTGTACGTACGTGTTTCAATGTTTTAGAAAGTTCATAGAAACATCTACCACTTTCATGTTTTGAAAATGATCATATTCAATTCATATCTTCTATCTCGTTTTTTTATGGTCTCACCCCACTATTATTCCTACTCTACATGTATTTTATTTTATGTTGAATTCATGAGAGGTTAGGATTCGAACATAGGGAGTTCGGTGCATACAATACAACAGGTCATGTTAATACTTAATTGCTTTGATTTAATTTTAATTAGGTTATTGTATAGCAGTGTGATTAGTAAATGTATGAGAATATTATTAGTATATGCATGGTTGCAATTAGATAGAATTTGTAATTATATTTGTTAGTGTAAATACAAACACTATGACCCTAACATTAAACTATTGCTCTAATTTGAGCTTTTAGTGGAAGAAAGGTAATGGAATAGTAGCAATGAAGAAGAAGGCACTGGGTAGCTTGTAGCTCTGATCTCAAAAATAAGAATGAAATATATTAAAATTATCCCCCGTGTTTGATTACAAACATGGATAATATTTATACTAACTATTTTGTGGTTAAAATGTACAAATAGTTAAAAATGAAATAATTACACGTGTCATCTCTGCTTGTGCATGCCATCCACAATCCACTATGATATGTCACACCAATGCAAAATTTGATGGGCATAACTAACTTAGCTTTGACGTCATCCTAGTTGTTGAACGTATTTGGTTAGTTGTACATGGTCGATCGCGTTGTAAGCTCGGCTACTTATCTCCCTTTGCCTTAGATATTGCCTTATCATCAATAACCGAGTTAAGCTTTTAGGTCGGTTTACTAGGTTGGATGTGAAACCTATTGATAATTTCCACTACAATACTCTTTTAATATCCATATAAAAATAAAAAATAAAAAAATTACTAAAAAAAGAAAAGATAGAACAATTATAATTAACTAGTTTATAATAACTTATTATAAGCACGGTTGTCAAAATCGGCCTAGGTGACCGCCTAGGCGAATTACCCCCTAGGCGGTCAGCCGCCTAGGCGCCCAACTCGGGCGACGAATTTTTTATAATTATATATATATATATATATATATATATATATATATATATAACATATACACACGTGCACTATTTTTTTCTAAGTTGGCTGCCTAGACCGCCTAAGCGCTACACGCTACTTACCGTCTGACTAGCGCCTAGCGCTTACTGCAACCATAATTATAAGTAATCAATAAACATGAAAATGGATGAAAGAAATAAATGTTAATGTAATATTATATTCTAGGAATTATACTCTCTTCTCATCAAACAATATATTTCAATTCCTTTCTTTCGCTAACATAATAGAATTAGGAAAAGAATAATTTTAAAAATAAAGAAATAAATGAAGTAAAAGTATATATATACATCACTAAAATTGAGATATTGGTCTTACATTAAATATGATTAATATTTTTCAAATCCATGCAGCCAGCCACTACATCAGGCAGGAAAATTTGTTGGAACGTAACAAAGAATTTATAGCCAAGTAGTTGGACGTATGCGGGTAGTCGTCAGCGGAATTTGTTAAAGCGGTTGGAAGTTGAAGATGATTACAGTTTTGTTGCCACTTGTGTTCATATTGGTTTGTCCACTTTCATCGTCTCTATCTACGATGCAAACGTCTGATAGCTTCCTGTTAATCTATCTTTTACCTACAATCTTGTAGATAAACAAAATTGTACCTACTTCAATTCGGGGATGCCTACGATACATTTGTTTGACTATTTATCATATAAATATTTTATAATTTATATATGATTCTTAATGTTTGACATTAGTTCAACTAAATTCAAAAATTGATTTACTTTGACAAATAGATAAAGACAAACTTATTACTTCATAAATGGAAAAGGATGAGATATGTATCTCTCAAACATAACTTACAGATGGTGCTGGATTTTCTTGTATATATCTAGTCCAAGCATATTATTATTAGGTAGAAGTAGTAGTACACTAGCTACTAATGAACCGAGGGAGTGGAGCTACAATAATGGACCATGGTATTTTGTCTACTGTAAAATAATGTACATTCTGTACAAAAATAATGTAATGGATGTACATTATTCATTATATTATTTTTGTTCTGAGTGTACATTATATTGTATAATATACATTCAGTACAAAAATAATATACATTTAGTATATTAAAAATATACTTTTAGTTATGGTCCACATACGTGGTCCACACAATAATTTTCCGTGGAGCTAGGTCTTGGACGTGGTATGGGCTAACCTGAGATGCATGGGAGATAGTGAGTAAAACATAATTCCCATAGGAGTAGATTGGGGACGAGAGGAATTGGAGTACAACATAATTATATTAGGAATAATTGTTTATAGATTTTGATTATATACTAAATAAAATGCATAGCCCCTCAAAAAAAAAAAAAAATGCATAGTGTTTTGGACCCTCAAACTTCCATGTAAATCTTTTTAAGTTCATAAGAAAATCAGAAAATGTTGTTCCAGAATCTGTTTAAAATCTCAACGGAAAGAAAATCCATAGGAAGAAAAGGATCATAAGAAAGCAATCGGAAGGAAATGATCGGAAGAGGAACTCTATCTAAGATAAGGAT